AACAACAACAACAACAACAACAACAACAACAACAACAACAACAACAACAACAACAACAACAACAACAACAACAACATGATTGTTTATGATAAAAATACGTGTTAAATGCGATCAATTAACGTTAATGGGAAAATATTAATTAAACATTGATTAAATCTTTAAATTTTTACATCGGGAAATATTGATTAAATATTTAGAAAAGTAATCAAAATGAAATCAATTTAAAAAAACCTTAATGAAGACAATGGTTTCTATTTTATTTATGCCATGTTCTTTTTATGTCAAAATATTGTAACACGAAAATTGCATATTAACGAATTTTTTAGAGAAGAGAAGAGAAGGGAAAAGTTACATTAATGTTAGAGTTTGTGTAGCAAACATCACAAAATTGGCTGATGACATAACGAAGGTAATAAATTGTTAGTGTATGGTATATTATATGTATATCCAAAAGCAGATTGATTAATCTTTCCATTTAACGTTTAATGCCTTTTAATAATTCCATATTTGTTACTATTTGCAAATAATGAAATATTCTTTTTATCCTACTTCTACTTACGCTAATTTTGTCATCAATGCCACTAAAAACAAATGTAAAAATTGAATAAGGAAAACAAATCCGGACATAACATAATGTGTTAATTTAAATAATGAATGAATATTATCTTTCAATAAGCTATAATAATATTAATGCTAAGGTAAATATATGATAATTATGATAACAATAAATTATAATTTACTAAATTATAATGCTTCAAGGACTTCAATAGGTAGTAAATCAATTTAGTTGTATTTCATTTTTACTCTCCAATCTCTTGCGTCAAAAATGTGAGTGTGACTTCATTTCACCAAAGATTTACAATTAAAGCGGAAGTTTTCATTTTAAATTTCTATAACTATCATTACAAAAAAAGAAGTATTGTAATTTAAATTTTTTAAAAATTTTCTTTCTTTGTATGTTCGTTAAGCTTTTTTATTGTAAAGAACTTTTTATTAATAAAAAAAGGAAATAAATAAATAATAAATAATCAATGGTTGTTACACGAACTCAATTTCTTAAACGTATATAACAAAATTTGGAATTTTCAAAATGCTAAGGTTCTGTCAATATTTAGTTTAAGAAAAAACTAGCCGATAGATTTTGAAGCTTGAGTCATGAACAATAAAACTTATCGGTTAATTTTTTTAAAATAATATAAAAAATTTTTGTTTTAGTATTTTGAAGCTGGACAATTGTTACTATAAGCAATTAATTGATTTCACACAAAATTTTAATATAATATCAACCATCTTTTTTAAAATTTAATTTTTTTATTTCTCGTCAATTAATTATTTTAACACAAATAACAATACGCACGATAGCGTCACTTTTACAAAACATTTACACTTAATAAAACTTAAAATAAAACTTTGCTTTTTTACTAAGCAAAAACCTTATTAGCGTTTTATTTTTTCGAGAGAAGAAAAAACGACTGTACGGCTGTTAAAAGAAAAATAACAAGCTTTCAAGCGGCCAAAGAAAAGTAAAGTAAATAAAAAAGGAACTTTAGAAAACCTTTGTCACTTTCTAAAGGGCCACATTATTTATTGTAAATAGTACCATAAAGTGTGCTGAAGCTTTATAGACAGACTGTTTACAACACAAGTAAGGTAAAGCGAAAGAAAAAAAAACAAAAGCATTAAAGATGCAACTAAAATTATTAAAATTTCGATTAAAATCATTAAATTTTCGATTAAAATCATTAAAATTTCCATTAAAATCATTAAAATCACCATTAAAAAATGTAGAATCTATTTCGGAGGAAAAAAGGTTTAAACATCAACTTAAAAAGGAACATATTTTATATGATTATAATTCCTTTCAAAATATTGAATTAATTGATGGTGGAGCATTTGGAACAATTTATCGTGCATCTTCGAAGCATCATCAAGGACTTGTGGCATTAAAATCCATTAATATTGACCAAAAATATACTTTTGAACAACTTCTTAACGAGGTAATAAATCGGTAAATCTTTTTTTATCAAATTTATGTATATATTAACAAAAATTAATTTTTTAAAGGCAAAACAACATTGTAAAGTGGAACATCACAGTAATATATTAGGATTTTATGGCATAACAAAAGAAAGTATGTTGACTTTTTATTATTAAATTATCATTGATTTACAATATATTTATTATACTTTGTTAACTTAAATTTTTTTACATATCATTAAAGAAAAACATAAAAAAAATTACATGTTTGTATTAGAGTATGCAAATAATGGTAATTTATGTGATTATTT